AGTAAGGCCTTGGTTTGCGAGCATAATTCGTTCCGGAAGTAAACTACTCGTATTGCAAGACATCACTCGTTTACCACGTTAAAATGTATTAGAAATGTTTGCTCATCTTGAGGAACACTTGAAAACCACGTTACTCGCAATCCAAGGTTTTACTGTACATCATTCTCTCAGTATTTCTCAATTCAAAGCCTTGAAGGATTTGATTATCCAGATCACCTTTTTGCCCCCAGGACATGTCACAGGACACTGGCCAACTTCAGGTTTGGCAGTTTGGGGGTCAGTTGCCCAGCCCTGGTCCAATCAGCATAGTGTGAAATGGGCTACCAAGGGGTACTCGTTCAGTAGGAGCTGTGAGCCAAAGAGTCTCCCCTAGAAGGGGCTCTGGTGTGGCAGGTATCTGATCTATGTGCCAAGTATATGGATGGATTAACGGATGAATGGACAGAGACAGGAATACTTTGTGCTTAGGGAAGTAAGGTATGATTGATTAGGAGTCAAATATTTAATGTGGGTTGAACAATTGAGCAAAGAGAGAACTGTATTTGCATGTTAAAACATTGGAATGAAATCTGATCCCAATCCTTAGGAATCAAGTAATGAACAGGTCCTGGTTGAGCCAACTATTGATGCCAAGTATTTCTTCTTAAGGAAATGAGATGAATTTCCCCCAAATTCCTTCACATACTTCTGGCTGTTCCTCCATATAGGGCCTGGTCTTCTCTAGCCTTTGTCTGTTAGGATTTCCCAAGGTTCATCTCTCAAATCACATAAAGTACTTAGTATGGTGCCTAATTTGTAGTAAGAATAGAGTGTTATTAGTAGTAATATACTCTTCATTCATTGGACAAATGTTTGAATAGTGTATCACCTATGGGCTGCATGTAACAGAATCCTAAATCTAGAGACTTAATCAAATAGGTTCACCACTCCTCTTACATCCCTGCCCTCACTTAAGAATAAATTTGGACACAGCCCAGGACTGGAATGGCAACCCATAGTGCCGTCTAGGATCCATTCTCCTCCTTCTTCCTTCTTTCTAGGATCCAGCCATCCTTAACGTTTGTTTTTTAAAAAAAACTTCGTTTTTGTCACTACACAAATAGTTAGTCCTCATTCTTATCACTTCTAGCCAAGCACCCTAACCATATTCCAGGTTGAGAGGAGAAGAGACAATGCCTTTATCAGGAAAATAAGTTCCTCAGATATGCCCCAGCAGTTTTCTGCTTCTATCTCATTAGCCAACTGCCTCACTGCTCTCTGCGGCTGCCAGGGAAGCCTTGGGCACACTGCCACTCTAGACAAAATCGGGATCCCATTGGTCAAGAAGGGGAAAATGGATATAGGGAAGAGAACTAGCAGTGTGTCTGGCTTATCCATGCGAGCACTGAAAATCACCACACCAGTCCTCAAAAGCTGGCCGAGGAGAGGTAAACCAGCAATGGAACAGCGTGATAAAGGTCACGACAGGTGTTTTTTCATGGGAGCATATGAAAGGGACACATAACGTGTGTTTGAGAGGTCAGGAAAGGCTTGCTGAAGGAAGTGATAGCTAGGACACGAAGCACAGATAGCAGTTGGCTGGCAGAGAGCCTGTGCAGAAGGTCAGACGTGAGACTGGGTCTTTTCCTGGAACAGAAATTCCTAATTGGTGGGCAACAGAGTGCACAGCAGAGAGTGGTAAGGTTGGACGTAAGCAGGAGCCAGCACATGAAGGACTTTTTAAAGAAGTGAGGCAGTGAGAAGTCACTCAGGAGTCTTAAGGAAACCGATTTTTACTTACTAGTTTTAAAAACTGGGGTGGAAAAATCATTCAATTTACAGCAATTATCTTTAAGTGCCAGTGGATTTCCTGTCCCTTCTTAAAGCACCAGGAGATCCACAAATTCACCTAGGCCAACACTCTCCCCCTTTTACAGGGGTACCCTCAGCTGGCTACTGCATTTAGAAGCTGGGAGCTCTGTGCTTAAACATTTTGGGTTTCCTCCCCAACAGAATGCTGTGAGGTAAATTAGGCTTCCTCTGGAAATGCTGCCCCTATCAGGAGTAATCACTTTTTAACTATATTCTTCAGCGTTCATGCTCAATTATATAAGTTTTCTTTTGAGTCAATCAAAGCTTAACTAAAAGGTTAAGTACACACAGAAATCATGAGTAACCTAAGCAATCTCTGACTTGATTAGATCACGTGGCTCTAGGCAGACTATTCATTTTTTCCTTGACTTGAAAGGAGGCCACACATTTGACTACTTTCCCAGTTTACAAGTTATTCTGGGAGGGTCTGAAGTAGGTAGCGTGGTGCATAAGCAGAGAGCACTGCGGTAGCACTGGCTACATTATGGCTCCATTTCCCACAGTGGTACCTTTGGAGCACAGCTTAAAAAAAAAATGATGACTGATTAGAAAACTTCCTTTTCGTTACTGAACTTATTTAGTATATTTCAGTCTGTACTTAAATCAGCTTTCAAAGATAAGGGCATAATAATATTGTCTAATCGGCTGAAAACAGTCATTTGCAACCCACTCTCCACTCCCCACTCCTAATCCCCTCCCTTTTTTTTGGCATGGAACTTCTTTTTAGCCCACCACATAATTTACTTCTTAACTATTATCTGTCTCCCTTCACTACATGTAAATTCATTAAGAGTGGTATTTCTTTCTGTTTTGCTCAGTGATGTATTAGTAAGTGTCTAGAATATGGGACTCAAATACTTGTTAAAATTTGCAAATGGATTATCATCAGTGTTTCTTCTATGGCTATCTTCTGTCCTGCCAAGGAAGGGCGAAACTCATCTCTGAACTTTGTGTTTCTTTTCTTTTTTGGCAAACTCCTACCTGTCCTTCAAGAAAAGGAAAAAAAAAAATCAACAAATTGTTAAGGCAGCAATTACATGGAAGACTTTGTTTCAGTAGGCAAATCAACTTTCAAGAGCCATTTGCTATCCCTCTTCATATTTAAGGCTTTAAATGTTATTCATTGCAAATGAAACATTATTCATTTATACCATCACTCTGCATTGCCATAATTGCACTTTTTTCATAAAGTTAATTGGATGAGCTAGATAGTATTTTAACAGACCTGAAATTCTGGAAAGGCTGCTATAAATCCCTTTCAAGGATTCTGTTTCTCAATTCCTTCCTGAGCATCAGGAAGATCTTTGTTGAATCTTACTTTTATTCTTGCACTTCACTCATCCATCTAATTATTAAATATCAACTTTCTGTCAGGCACAGTTCATTGATAGGTAAATCCTATCAAAAATTTTTCTCACTGCTGGCCCTAGAAAATTTTTTCTTGTTGAGACTAGATTATAATCACCATGTTTTATCAATATTCCCAACAACTAATATAGTATCTGACCTACAGTAAGTGTGCAAAAGTTTTATTAAAAGAACAATGAGCACTTTTTACCTCTTGCTATCTTCCAAGTGCATAATCTGATGAGGATCAACATACTGAACACAGGCCTACCCACAACCCAGTTGGTCAATCCAACTGTGCCAGAGCCAGGTGGCTGTGTTTAAACTGTCGTGATGGGGCCGGCCGAGTCGCTCAGTTGGTTAAGAGCTCACTCAAGAGTATGAGCTCTGAGCAACTAGCAGTTCAATGCCCGGCCAGAGTTGAGCTGCCAACAGGTGGCAGGATGGCTCAGCTAAAAAAATTAAAATTAAAAAAAAATAATAAAAAATAAACTGTTGTGATAGGCAGAATCCTAAAACTGCTACCCGAGATGTCCCACTCTAATCCTCACTGTAAATATGAGCCATTACATCTGTGATGTTACATTACCTAGCAAAAGGGATTTGCAGCTGTAATTAGGGTTACAATCAGCTGGCTTTGAGTTAATCAAAAGCAAGATTATTGTGGTAGGCCTAAGCTTATCAGAGAAACCCTTTAAAAGCAGTTTGTCTAGCTTATGGCAGAAAAGGAAGTCATATTCCAAGAAGGGAAAAGATTCAATGCACACTTGTTCGCTTGAAGAGGGAGGTCATGTGTCAAGAAATGTGACCCTCACAGTCGGTGTAGAGGCGACCACCGCACTGTATATCTGAAGCTGATGTTGAATAATATTGTTTGTCAACTATAACTATACATACATATAGTCACGGGATATGGAGTGTGGGAATGGAGTCAATGGAATTGTAATAGATAATAAGTACAATATCGGGGGTGGGAGGGCAGTGGATAGGGGTTGTCACTTTGTGAGGGGTGAAAAGGATAACTAGTGCATTGTTTTGTACACCTGAAACTAATAATAAAAATAAAAACAAACAAAAAGAAATGTGAGTGGCTTCCAAGAGCTGTGGACAGCTAGCAAGGAATGGGGACGTCAATTCTATAGCACAAGGAACTGAATTTGGCCAACTGAATAAGGCTGGAAGCAGGTTCTTCCCCTAGTGACTCTGGTCCAGAGTCCAGCTTGGCCAATAACTTGATTTCAGCCTGAGATCCCAATCTAGCCTGCCTGGACTTCTGACCCACAAAACTATAAGATAATAAACAGGTATGATTTTAAGCTGCTAAACTGTGGCAATCTGTTAGGCAGCATTCGGAAACTAATACAATCATCCTGTACTAGAATGGGCTTTATTGCAATGACCCGATCTTGATATTACAGTTTTTTACTGACTCATTCGAAAGGCCTTCTCTGCCTTTCCCTTTTCTGCATTTGTCTTATTGCTTTTCTTTTCACTGTCCAGGGAAATGCTGTACAGGAAAAAATTCCACCCAAAATTAGTTGTTGTTTATGAAAAGATAAGTTAAGATACTAAGTTTCTTTGGACAGTATCCAGCCTATAACACTGCCCTCTTACTTAAGGGCAATAAACCCACAAAGATAAAGGAATAAAATCATTGGCGACCTAAAAAGGTCCATGATCATGCAAATAAATTTGTAAATATCAAAAAGGTACAATACAAATAAAATCAGATACTAAAATTGTGTTCAAATTCTCTTAAAAGAACTTACTGTCTCAACTTGGAAAATGATCAAATAAATATATACACTGAGTCAGAAAATTATTTTAATAGTTATAAAACATCTTTTTCTTTACAGAATCAGTATAAAATAGCAGTTGATTTCTCCATAATTATCAGAATTATTTATACGTGAGGTCTTGGCTAAGTGGGGCTGAAATCAACAAAAGGTCTTGGACTGTTGGCTCAGAAATCATCCTAGGAAGCCCGCCTTGTTGATGTCTGTCATGCTTAGCTCTTATGAGATGACCCGGTCCTTTTTAAAAAAGTATCTTTTTATTCCTTCTTTGGAGGCTTGAAGTGAATTCGGCAGCGTTCATTAAACACCTGAGATATTTAAACAGAAATGAGTCATTGAGTTATCCTGTGTAAGTCAGGCCTGGAACTAAATTAAATTTGGCATGGTTCAGGAGGACATATGTTTTTTGTCACGGGTCAGCAGCTTTAGGAAACAGAGGAGTTTCCTCACCAGTTCAAACTGACTCCAGGTGCTAAGGGCACAGAAAGCCTCACTATCCATTTATAAGGTAATTTTAATATTTTAACAACATTTAAATTATTCAAGAAAAAAATCATCCCAAGCTGGCTTATTTAGTAACTCACAGACATTTTAGTTTCATATTCTGGATACAGTGTGGACAGTTAGACAGAAATATCTAAAATAAGTTTAAGACTAAGCTTTCCCCCCTCTTTCTTATAAAATTTATTTAGCTGTCTGTTGTGCTTTTTTAAATGAGTGCCAGATCCTTCTTCCAAGTAGGTATACTTGAAGGGAGACCAGTCTTTTGTTAAATTGCGTAAATTTATATAATGCTTTATTCTATTTATTTTGCCTCTTAAAAGTCTAAACAAATTAGATGTCATAAGTGTTAAAAGAACGTTCTATGACTGTCTGTCAGTACGGAACTGTGTTAAATAAAAATTTTGATACAGCCATTCAATGGCATAGAATGCATGCATAAAAAAGAATCACGAAGCTCTTTATGTTCTGATCTAAAAGATCTCCAAGGTCTATTAAAGGGAAAAAAGTTCCATTTGTGTGACAAAGGGGAAGAGTGTGTGAGTGTGTGAGTGTGTGTGTGTGTACACACATAACCTTAGAAAAGGTGCAAATATCTAAAACCATACACCATCCTTTCAGAGGGAAGAGAAAAGAAGTGGCTGAAAGAGAGGGATGAGAGGTAGAATTTTTACTGTATAGCCTTTAATATTACAAAATACTTTTAATCATATGTCTAAAAATTTTAAGTGTCCAAATTATTTTTAAATATAAAAATCTAAAAGATTTCTTCTCAGAATTTACCCTTATACTTCATTAACATAAGGAACAAATCTTTTTTAAAGTTAAAAAAAAAAGTCCTACATTGGCCACAGTGGACTATCATAAAAATCTACACAGGGAGCTTTTAAGGTACTGGTAGCATTCAATTTCTTGAACTGGGTGATAAATATATGTACATTCATTTTATTACCATTCTTTAAGTTCTACATGTTACATAGTCTTTGGCATGTGTATTTCACAATTCAAAGAACATATGTGGAAGTTATATAGACTCTTTCTGGTCCTTTCATCTCACAGGTCATCTCACGTCGGTTCCCAGCCCTGCCATTCCCTGAAGTTCCTAATGCTCAGGCCAGAGGGGGCTTCAGATTAGTGGCCTTGACACAGTGGCTGGGATGACATATACAACGTGGCCGAGCTTCTCCAAATCCTTTTCCTAAATGACTGCCTAACCACTTTTGCGGGCCTATTGCACGATAGCTACATTTTCTTTTTAAAACAAGTAGGGAACCTCACTTCCGATAGAGTGGATGGAGTATATGCTTTCTTTAATATCAGATACAAAAATGCTTCACTCTTCCCACTACACTTTACATACATCAACCTCTGCACTGGATTTTTCAAACCAGTAATTCATTGTACTCCTCCCCCATCCCATTCCAAGAGTAAATATTATCTCTCCGGAGAATTTAAATGGACAAATATTACCAAAACCTTTCAAGTAGCAAACACCTTATCATGTTGATGGAAAGGGCAGGAACAGGAAATCTTGGCAAAGAAGATAGGATAAAGAAACATGATAAAGCAAAAAAAAAAAAAAAATCAATTTGTTTTTCGCAATTTATTCATCGCTCTGCAAGTTGGTATATTCTTGTTTTTGGTTCAGTTAAGCTCTCTCTGGGTTTAAGCCCTTACCATTGGTTATTTTCAAAAGATAAAACAGAATATTCAGTTAATTTGTTCAGATTTAATAGATTTTGCCCTCCAGAAATCTTTGAAGTTTTAGAGAGGGGTATATAGATATACCTTTTCAGAAAACTAAAGTCAGAATTCTGTGATTTTGATTATATGTAAAGTCCTAGAGTCCTGGTCCCCCAATCTAATTCCTAATCTAAACTACGCAGGTGGTACGTAATAAGGAGCATGGGAATGTAGGCACCATAAAAAGCCCTATTATCAGATACCAATACAGCTATGTACAAAAAAGTTTCACAATCAGAGGTTAGAAAACAAGCAGCTGTGAAGGGTAGCTAATTATATGAAAATTTAACTGGGCTCAGAAATGCTAATTTTAACAAAAACCTCAGTGAAGGTTCTGAGTTAACAAGAGTAAAAACTCTTAAGTATCAAATATGCCCATAATTAGTATTAGGAAACACAGAATGTCTCCAACTCTGTTACCTAGAGAGGTCAAAGAATTCTACCATCACTGTAAAGCTAATATTTATAAGATGGCTCTATTTGGATGTTAACCATACCTGTCCCCCCTCAAAAGATTAAAGCCCTTAGCTGCTTATAAATGAAGGATCTCTTTTTCTTAAGAGCTCCAGTGCACTCCTGAGTACCCCCCACCCCCACGTCCCTTTGCTAGTTCAGTTTCCCTCCTAGTTCTCCCTGAAAACCAACATTAGCTTGTACCTTCCAGCTCCTATCATTGACCACTTCTTCGACATTCAATTCTGACTGCATCCATTTCAACTGCAAGAAAGGAAAAACAAATCACAGTTATAAAAATTCAAAGAACTAAAACCCAAATTTTATGATGTTTTCCCCAAACCAGCCATCGCTCCTGCATTCTTTGTTAATGGTATTACATAGGCTAGATTTTGGAAGTCTTTGACATAGCCCATTCTCCCTATAACTAATCAATTGTTAAATCTTATAAAGCCCATGTGGTCAAACAAAAGGTGTAGAAACACTGGTTGGGAGATATTGCGAAGAAGATTAATGTAACAAATATGGAGTCCCAGAGATTAGAAAAGGAAAGGAACTGCTACTTTGTATCAGCCAACATGCTACCTCTTACATACATTATATCATTTAATCTTCACCAAAAAACAAAAAAATAAATAAGAAGTTATTAAGTATCAACTCCATTTTACAAACTGGAAATCCGAAGTTTCAGAGCAATTAATTTACAAAGTTACAAAGCCAAGAGGTGGTAGATGGGATTTATTTCCTTAGAGCTATCTGCCTTTATAATTTCAAGTTTTTTCTATTCTTGAACACTGCACATAGTACAGCCAACTTCTAATACAATTTCATTGCCATCAACATAATGCTACTTTGAGATGGCTGATTTCGGAGCTCTGGGCCTTAAAGCAGAGCCCCCTTTCAAAGGCCACTAATAGGTGACAGCAGTTGCATAGTTCCAGCGTGGAATGTGCTTTTCGAGTTAAGGATTCAGGTAAAGAACTGGAGGCTTTTAGACTGATGTCTCTGTATATAAAATAAAACATGCTCACTAAAGTAATCAGAATTTGACTATCAGTCACAACTTAATGTAAAAACACTGACTGAATTAAGGGTCAGAAGAGATGGGTTAAAGTCCCATTTCTACCACTTTCTAGCTTGGGACTTGGGGAGTGTCAGTATCTCTGAGTCTCAGTTCCCTCATACAGAAAGTGAAGAGGTGGAGCTGGAACATCTCTTAAGAACTATCTCTTTCTAATTCCATAATCTTCATAGGAAACTTGAAAATAAAACACAAAATTCAAGTTTCCTTATTTGCTTAAGAACTGTTCATGGTTACCCTCTAGTCCGATACAATATCAGGCTAGGAATAATCTTTCCTAACTCACTGACTGGCTTTTAAAACACCTTGCACTGCTCAGCCTGGTGATTCTCTCTGGGCCCTAAATGCAGAAGAGAACTGAGGGCAGATCAAACTGTGTGACACGATCAATCTCAAACACTCAGTGGTTTTTGAACTTTACTCTCCACTAATGAGTCACTTTATTCTTGGCTTGACTTAATTTGCAAATAGGATTTTTCAGTTTCTGATTTACCATCCCTGCTGTGCGGTTTCATATGCCAATACCTTCAAGAGTCTATTAAAATATAAAATACAAAAATAACTAGATTTTAACCAGTGTTATATAAGTTTTCTACAGGCCTTCATAAGCACTGAGGGTCAAGTGAGATGACCATTAGAGGCTAAGTTCACTGTCTGAGGAGCCCACCACTGCCTGGTGAGTGAGCAAGTGTGGAAAACGGGGCTGACACAGTCGTCACGACCAGAGCAGTGAAGATGGCGGATGAAGACTGTATCCAGTGAGACATACGGCACAGGGAAATGACCGAGACAGTGCACACTCAGGCGTGTGCAGCTACAAGAACAAAGGCTTGAGAGAGATGACAAGGTTCCTTTTTCAAAGCATGGCTACATCTACTAAACAAAGGGCAAACTTCACAACTGTTCAGTATGAAACACATGATTCCATCTCACACTGGATTTTCAGTCACCTGACATGCAAGGATCAGTGTCACGTACTGTGCCATCTTAAAATACAGACATGATTTTGATAGTTGTATAGTGGTCATTTAAGAAGAAGCCCCTGTTCTAAGGAAATAATCAGCAAAAAGGGGTACAATGTGTCCAACATGCTCTCAAAATGGCTCAGGAAAAAAAAAACTGAATGTATATGAAGGGAGGAGGGGAGAGGCAGGAAAAGGGGAACGGAGAAGGGAGGGCAGAACGGAGAAGGGAGGGCAAAGAGAATGAATTGTAAAGCAGGTGGGGCAAAATGTAAACAATAGGTGAATATAGGTAAAGGGTACACGGCAGTTCTTTGTACTATTCTTGTAACCTTTTAGTAAGTTTGAAATTATATCAAAATAAAAAGTTACCCCTTAAGTGCCCACGCCCCCAAAAATACAGCAGTGCATTCCATATAATAAAACATGGTATATATACATTTCAACTATTTTCTTGACATGTCACATTTAAGGGCTATAAAGAAACATTTCTGCTGCATTAGCTCTACTCTGAGGTCTATGCCCTATCTACAGTATAGCTGACTTTGGAAAATAAGGCTTCCTCTGACATATCATTCAGTGGACACTTGCTGTTTCCTTAAAAGCGAAAGCTGCAAGGATGGGAGATGAAGTGCAAACAAAGGGGTGTCCAAAAAGAGCCAAAGACCCACAGTAACTTCGCCACGGAAGGTTATAATGAGGTTTAGTGTATCTGATTATATTAAATTGTACGTTTCTATGGCTGAAGAGGGTAATATCCTGAAGTTAATTATCTGTATTACACTTTAGCAAATTTCGATAGATAAAACCAAAGGTAAATATTTTCAAAATGTAAATATATTTTTAAAATGTTTCTTCTCGGCCTTTTGAGCCTTGCCTCTGCTCGGGGCCCGCTCCAAACTCTTTGGAGTGTACTTTCTCTCCTAATAATGACTCCCTGGCTCTGGGCCCCCTTGAGCCTTTTGAGCTTCCTTTGCTCAGCCCGCTCCAAACTCTTTGGAGTGTACTTTCTTTTCTAATAACGGTCCTTGAGCCATTCTCGACTTTTTCTTCCGTTTCTGCTTCTTTAAAATATATTTTTTTCTCCTAATAAGCTCCTTTTCTGTAACTTTAAATAATAAATAAATAAATAAATAAATGTTTCTTCTGAAGTCAAACCTCAAAACATAGATATAGATGGGATTTCCCTAGATTTTCTCATGTGGTGTTGGTCTGTATTAATTCTTTTATCTTGAACAGCAGAATATATAAAGGAATGGAAATCAAATGAGATTACATGCTGCTTTCAGCTAAAGCTGCTACAATGCATATGCTCATGAAATACACATTAATTTACCAGTTTCCCATTGGATATTTCCAAATGTAAAAAACATAAACTCCACTAAAAATGAAGTTTTAATCTCTTGGCCATTTTTTTTTAAGTGATGATCATATTTTACTCTAAGTTTTTCTTATTAAAAACTGCCTTTATTTTGAAGGCTAAGTTTGTAAAGACTTTGTTTCAGAAATGTAAACCTTATTCAACTTACCTTTGTCTGTTCTTTTCTAAGCTGCTTTAATAATGTTAAATCGTCCAAATTCTTTTCTCTCTCTTCTCGGAGGTGTTTTACTACTGATGAAGTCTGAGCTATACAATTTTTTATGACTCTATCCCTACTGGCATGAGCCTCCATCAACTAAAAGAACAAAGGAATGGAAAGAGAAAAAAATCACACCAATTTATCACATTTTAGTGTTTTTTAAAAATCCTTATTTTTAGATTACAGAAATGTAACACTTCTTAAAACAATTTTGAAAAATAAATTTGTGGAAGAGAAGATTGTTTTCATCAGCTAAATTGCCTAAAAACAGATCAAAGGAAGCGCCTCTGCTGGTGGGAGGCATGAAGTCAGGGTTGTCCTCAGGGCTTCCCGCTCCTCTGCCTGCTCAGCCTGCTCGGGGCTCCTGGTCTCAGTCTGCTTTCCCTGCACCCCCTTCTCTCCTTCTCGCATTATTCCAACCATGCCCTACACCCACCCTCACACACCGGGGCCACTTTCTATTGCTATTCTTTTTTTGTCCTTTCATGTTTTCTTCAGCCTCATGTTGTCACCAAGTGCTAGGAATTATAAAGTAAGTGATGTAGAAAAACTCTCACTTTACAATAAAGAAAAACAAAGAATGTTACATTTACCTCTGTAAGACAGAGAGCTCTTCTCAAGTATTTAAAGTTTAAGTATTAATGAGGAAAAACTGTATGCAGCGCAGATTATTGGCTCCATCAATTGTGTGTTGACTGAACATAAGAACATCTGACACAGCAGTTCCTTGCTAATTAACCTTCATCTTACTGTAACAAGCCCAATACAACAATTCACATCTATTTTCTGCCCTGATTCACGAAGTATGATGGTCATGTTTCAAACACACTCCTATGATCACAGCCAAATTTTGATGACACTTCAAAAATCTGGGGGACAGGAAAAGCAATAACCTAAATATGTAATCGCCATTTTAATTAATGTGGTTCACCTCCAACTAAAATTTAAGTGTTAACTTGTTCCATGTAATTATTATATCATTTCTTCTTCCCTCTGAGGAGAATAATAACCTAACACTATGCTAGTGATAGTTATAACAGGGGTAGCCTAACCACTATACATACATATATATATATATATATATATATATATATATATGTATATATATGTATGTATATAAACATAAGACTAACAACCATTCTATAAGATATTTAAAATATAGCTCTTAAATGAACATAATGGGACTCTGTAATTGGGAACTACTAGTCTAATTATACCAGGAAGAAACAGGCCTTTGCATTTCTAGACTGCAATACTAAAAGTGTATTAATTATAAATTGTACCCATGTGAAGAGAAGGAAATTAAAGCACCTAATAGATATCAACTCCACATATAGTAAATAGCTTTAATATGCTAATTTTTCTCATTGTAACATTTAGGATTCATGAGGACAACCTCAAGGCCCATATTTCATTGGCTAATATGCTGCTTCTTTACTTGTTTACTCCTTCAGGTATAATTACAGGAAATTAAAGAAGCCATTGAGGGTAGGGAACTACACTTTCCATAACACAATTAGAAGAACCATGTGCAGTTAGGAAGCTCTCCCTGTTGCTGTGTAAGGCTAAGTAATTAGCGTTCCCAGGTTTCAGTTTCCTCTTTTGTGAAAGTATGGATTATGAGAAAATAATCGCTAATATCCTCTCCACCTCTAAAATTTAGGGGCAACATGACTTAATACACTGCTTATATATCAGATGGTATTTAATCACTTTGATATTTTGTCTGACCCCACCCCACCCCCAGCAACTGGAAACAGCATTAGCACCAACTACAAGTCTATCAAAATATTCTCATTTTTCTATCTGTATTTTAAAATCAAATACAAATTTTGTATATTTTCCTTTCAGTCTCTCACCACAAAGTTTCCTTCCTTGGTTGGGCTTTCCTCCACTCTTCCCCCTCTTTACCTTGGCCCCTTTCCTGTGGCTACACTTCTAGCTGCAGATCACCCTCCTACCCTCAGCTGCTTACTTCTCCTTCAGATTAGCCCCACTGGGAACCCACTCCATGTGAACAGAAATTGCTGGGTAAATCATCTTACACTGTGTTATCAGTTATTTTAGTCTGGTGAACATCCTTCAATAAAATTCAAAATTAAGAGCCATATGCAAGAGGAATATGAATGGCCTTCAGTGCATGTATGTCAAAGAAATGAGGACGTTTGATAACTAGTAATAGGTTATGTGACATGAGCCTGTCAGAGAAAAATATAGCACTAAACCAGGCTTAGCTCATTAGTAATTTGGATGCTTGAGGATCTGGTCACATGAGAACTGTTTCTGACATGTGAAGTGTTTATCAAAGGAACTGAGGTAAAATTTATTAAGAAACTTGGTAAGTTACAAGGCAAGGTCTTTAGTTAGAGGAGAAAAATCCTGAATAAGCATATCATAACCATACTTCCTTTGATTTGGGGCAAGGAATTTTAAAATGAAGACAATGGGGTGAGGCAGGAGAATGATTCAAAACTAGTCGAAAGGGGGTATAACTAGAACTTTCCAGTTTTATTTTACCAGAATTTTGAGAACTTCTTTTAGTCTAAAATTTTCACATCTCTTAATCATTATTTTAAAACAATGCCAACAATTTTCCTAATTATAGTTGTTTTAGTGTTTTCCTTTCTAAAACAAAGGTTGATTCTAAATAAACTAAAAATTAAATTCTAATTTCCTAAACATCATTTGTTTTTTTAGAACCCCGACAATGACCTTGGTTTAACTATCATTAAAATCAAACAAAAATTATTAAGTTTTTGTTATAGCATTGTGTTTTGAATCTTCTTCCAGAACTTCTGACAAAACAAAGAATTTTATAGTTTGAAGACAACATGCTCTAATAAGGGGGTCTCACTAAAACTATTTTATTTTTATTAAGAGTATATGTTTAAGATTTGGAATTTCTAAAATTCACTAACAACTTTGCTGAATATCGTCTATTATAGAAGCATTATCATTAGAGTGCAAATATTCCTTCATCAGCTATAGACAGAAGGGTCAGGGACTGAAGTAAGTCAGGTAACTGTAAGCAGCTTAGATATTTCATAGAGCTCCACTTCTTAACTGAGATAATATTTAAGGGAGCTCAGTGGTACTTATTAGCACAGGCACTCTGATGCAGTCCTGACCCTGGCACAAAACTACTTGATAAATAATCCTTTGCATTATGTTCATGTTGCTGGATCCCTGTAGGATGCCAGAAGACAGAGGAAAACCCTAACACATACATAATAATATCCAAAACACAAAGGTTCCAAATTTAGTACGCAAGGTTATCCTGGTTCAACAAAGGGGTAAGAAATAATAATAATAGCAGTAACTAGTAATACAAGCAACAAGCATTTATATGTAAAACATTTAGTGCAGTGAGCACTTTATATTAACTCATTTAATCCTCTTAACAACCCTATGAAGATACAATACCCTATGAGTTATTATTAAGACACTATTTTACAAATATGGAAGTTGAGGCAAAGAGGTTATGTAACATGTTCAAGGTCACCCACCTAGGAAGTAGCAGAGGTGGCTTTGATCTGGAATCCATGTTGTTAATCACTACAATGTAAACCTCTACATTAATAAAAAGATTGAAAACAACTGAATAGATTATAGAGATTATATGGGTAGTGAGGATCACTAAACTGATCATAAATTTTTAGTTCTTTAGACAGAGCTATCCAAAGAAACTAAGTGAACTGTCAAACCATCTCATAATAAATTAGGACATGGACCCATGCTCTACTTCCAATACTGGATTCTACTCATTAAAGCCCACAACCCTGCAATTTTCTCAAGCCCCAAGAACTGCCTAACCACTCAGTAAAATAACATACTTTCATATAAAAGCAGAACAAAAATGTCAGCAATTAATCTTTGAATTTTACTGACATGAATAAGCTTATCCAAAAATGATTTTTTTTATAACTGAGAAATGGACTTTAAGTTTTGGTTTTAAGTAATACCTTCTTTTTGAGACAATGAGTCCAAATAGTAATCTTGCAGCGGAGTCTAAAAAAGCAAATGCCATTTGCACTTTAGCTTCCAAGTAAATGAACAGATATAAGTAAACTATAAAATAAACTTAAGTACATCATTATTTTCTTCTGCTTTTGGAAATTAAAAAGAAAAATAAAGAGAATCTTTAAGAGTCAATAAAAATATATATACTTGAGAAACCAAAGTCTCAGGAAAGGACAATTTATCTGTTACTTTCCTTCTCTCCCAACCACTAAACATTTCTATTTCCTTTCCTGATGAGTAAGGCAAGAAAGAAGACATAGAGGGCATGAAGGGTTTTAATTTCTCTTACATCAGCTGTCTGCTTTCTTAAGACTGATTCATTCAAAACCCTTGTTCTTGCGCCACTGTTTTCCTTGATTGTCTCACTCTCTCCTTCATTCCTTTGTTCATAAGGTTTCCTTAAGTTAAAGGCTGCCGGGCTGACCAAGTGGCTCAGTTGGTTAAGCTCGTTCAAGAGTGCGGGCTCTGAGCAACAGCGGATTGATTCCAGGCCCAAGCTGAGCTGCCAACAAGTGGCAGGATGGCTCAGCTTAAAACAAAACAAAACAAAAAAAAACTTGGCCGAGTGGCACGTTGGTTAAGAGCTGGCTTGGGACGCCAGAGGACCCCAGTTCGGATCCCACATATGAGGGCCAGTGACACTGCCCTCTACAGCTAAGATGCTGAACAACAGCTCAACCTGGAGCTGGGCTGCTGTGAGTTGTGGGCGATGGCGTAGGCTGCAGCCATTGCTGTAGTGGGTTGCCATGGGCTACAGTGTGTAGCCAGCAGCCAGCGTGAGCGGCCAGCAGCCACTGTGAGCAGCCATCCAGAAGCCAGCGACTGATCTGTCTCACCCGTCACCCGGGAAGAGCGCAATGATGGTTCCAACTTGGGCCAGTGAAGCAACGTCCTCCACAACTAGACTGAAGAACAAAAGGACAGCAACTTTGTCTGTTCCCCTTCCCCCAACTCCCCAGCACTGTTCCCAACCCCCAATTCCCCAATTTAAAAAAAAAAAGGCTGCCCATGAGGGGGCCAAAAAACAACCATCCATTCCTTAGAATCATTTCTTCACAGACTTGTGCATAAAATCACACATTTCTTTAGTTTGTAGAAACTAGATCAAAACTTATATACACTCTCAGGTATGGGCAAGAAAAAACATGAAGATGCCATTCTTGTATCCAGTTTAATTATACATATATCAACTGAGTTCTTATTTTGCCTGCAAATAAAGGAATAAAGGAAGCACAAAAGAAAGACGCAAAAGATACACTTACAGACTCATACAGTTGTTTACAGGTTTGGCTGGCATCAATTTTCCCTGCAAAGGAAGCTGTTGGAACCGTAGTGTTTAATTCATGTACTATTCTGTCATCAATCGTCCTCATCACCTTGAGTAATTCCTATATATATTTAAAATAAAAGAATAACCTGAATGAAAAGTTGTGATAAAAAAAAGAAACATTTAAACCAAAAAATAAAGCCCTTGGATATTTTACAACTCTGTAAGTTAGGAATAGGGAAACCATGCCAAATACATAGTACAACCAAAGGGAAATCTCTATTACAAGAATTATGTAATAGTAGTTCTAACAATGGGCACCAGCTCTGTTTCTTTGGCTCAAATGTGATCATCTTTTTTTTGTAATTTTATGTAACTATATGTATGTATTTCATGTGTATACACAGTTTTCTCTCTTGGATCAAATGTGATCATCTTAATGGTCAGCTATGTTGAATGTTACTAAGCAGTTAAGAAAGACATGGACAGAAATTAACTTTTAGACTCGGTAGGATGGCAATCATGGGTGACCTGGACAAGAGTCATTTAAGTTCAGTGTTTAATGGATTGAAAAGTTAATGTGGCTTAATTATAGATAACAGATAAAACATGGTGTAAAATAAGGCCCAAAAATTATAGGTCATATTATAAGACTTTAGTCTTTTTCCTGGGAGCCATGGAGAACCAATGAAGTGTTTAAGTACAGTGGGGCTAGATGATCATATTTGTGTCCTAAAATGATTGCTTAGGTTAAAGTTAAAGTATTAAAGTGTAGAAAATGGATAGTAGAGAACAAGAGTAGATACAGTTTTGAGTTTGATCAGTAGCTACATAGTCAAATTCCCCTCCAATAAAACAATTTGGACAAACTGTTAAGTTCCTTATACAGCAATGGGAATTCATCTGCATTTACCAGGTGATGAATCAATTTCAGTGTTATCAATGGAAACTATAAATGTGGATTATCAAATATATCAATTCTTCTCTGTGTGCTAGAGAATTATCAGTAAATGATCTAAAGCTTGCCTTTCATATGGTAGACACTAGTAGCCACATGAGGTTATCTTAATTAAAATTAAAATTTAGTTCCCTCAGTTGCATTAGCCACATTTCAAGTGCTCAAGAGCCACATGTTGCCAGTGGCTACCCTATTGGACAGCACAAATTTCCACCATCATGGAAAGTTCTATTGGACAGTGCTGAATTCAAGAAAATAAGAGTCTCTAAACTAATAATCCACTTGTTCAGGGACTGTCAAGAACTATAAGCTATTCTTAAATGTCACAGAAAAGGTGCTAGAAAAGCTAAAGATAAGAAATGATGGGGGTAAGATGCAGGAAGGACTTTCTTTGAAAATTGGAAAGGGAGAAGGAAAAGAACTATAAAACCCCTCACTAGGTACACACTTCTTTACAATGGAAAAAGCTCCACAGCTCTTAAGGCAACTCCAAGAAGTCTAGAAAAGGGCCTGGCCAGGGCTCACAGACGGAGAGCATTTGGAAGGTTAATGCAGGCGCAAAAGAGCTGCTGTTAAATCATGTGTCTGGTTCATAAGGAATTACTGACTACCTACCTGATCCCTAGCCCCAAAGGCATAACCTCTCACAAATTCACCAAGAAAATATACAGAAGATGCCCCCGAGCAGATCATATACAATAAAGGGCAACACAAGTCTACAGAGGTAATACAGAAATACACACGCTTCAGTAGTGCACTGAAGGTTACATCTTTGTGTAGGACCTGGAACCCTAATCATCTTCTAAATGTCACAGCACCGCAAAAGAGAACTCTGCAAATTTTGTTGTGCTTCCAGCTTCTCCTATCTTTCACCCTCCTCAAAACAAGAAGAGATTCTGATATATCATGAATCTCTCATTTTAGGCTAACCCTTTAAAATTATTTAGGTACTTATCTTGGGATTGCATTTCGTCTTACCTGTAACTGGGTGAAAATCTCATCCTCTTGGAAGGCAATTTCAGTACTAAAGCAGTGCCCACATTTAGTAGTAGGGAGGAGTAGAGAAAACTTTTTATTGCCCCTACAACTATATTATACTGTATTCCTAAGGTTAATCCTCAGGTAAATTCCTCTTATTCTTATTGGGCAGTTTTTTGGGTATATGGGGGGAGGGGGGACTGGGAAAAGGTCTATTGAATATTACAGGACAGTAAAATACAAAAGTACTCCAAAAACTAATCTGGGATTAACCTTTCCTCTCCACACTCTTTGCCCAGTAGATCCCATGATGCTCTTTTTAGACAGACGTGACTCCTTAAACCCCATTTTTATAGCAGTGCTTGCACTGTGTTCCCCGCAAGCCAGAGACACAGATTTGCCTGCAACTGCCAGTCTTCTGATACCCAGCACCCTGAGGCACAAGGACAGACAGCAGTTGGGCATCTTCCAAAAGGAACCATCTCTGATGCTAGACAATAGTTTATTTAGTCTGTACCTAATTACCATATACCTCAAAATCAACTGTGCATAAATGAATAAATATTCCTAACAGAAATACCAAGACTTAAACATTCAGGGAAGGAATACTTAGTTGATTTTGTTCAGGTGATATATGAAATGGATCTTAGGGGCAGGAAGAAGGGATTTCAGGGTAGCCACGAGTGATAAAAAAAAAAAAGCATGTAAGTAACAAAGAGCATAATGTGTTCAGAGAACAGTAGGCCTACATGGCTGGACAGCAGAGATCAAATGTACATTGGAGGAGGCAGAGGGTTTGGGGGAGAGAAATATGCATGAATAAGAGCAGTGGTAAGAGATATAACTAAAGAGAGGCACTTTGGGAATGTATGCCATGTTAAGTAGTTTAGATCTAGTCATAAAATTAGATGCATGGTTCAGATTCTAAAATTTAGAAGATTAATAGTATAAAGCCACAATATTATGGAGATTAGACTGAAGGGGCAAGGGGATATATTAGAAAAAGGGATGACTGAAAATAAGGAGACCTATCACAAAGCTAGTTGCAAAAATGACAGAGCCTGAACAAAGACCGTGGTACAAGTGATGACTCTTCCCTAAAGCACCTATTTGATCATCTCATACCCTCTGCTAAAAAATGACTCTCTACCCTTACATACTTGGCATCCAAAACTTCTACAACCTGGTTCCAATCTTTTATGGAATCTCAATGTGGCCTTAGCAAATCCTGGATTCCAACAATACTGATTAGCTATTTCCACCAAATAAGTAAAATTTTCTGCCTTATATACTATTTTTTTCTACTTAAAATACCCTTAATCCTGTCCACCTAAGGCCCAACTCAATTACCACCTCTTGATTTATTTCTCTGAACTGTTACAGTATTTTATTCATATTCTCAATATTTTCTACATGTTTTATTTGTCTACTTGCATTAAGTTCCTTATTTGATATCCAGGCCACTGGGTCTTCCCAAGTGTCTGGAACCTAGCATTATTGTAATGGACTGAATTGTGTCCTCCCAAAATGCCTATGTGACTGTATTTGGAGATAGGGCCTCTAGGGAGGTAATTAAGGTTAAATGAGGTCAGGTGGGCAGGGTCCTAATCCCACAGGACTGGTGTCCTTGTAAGAGGAAGAGACACCAAAGATATCTCTCCTACATGCACAGAGAGGCCATGTGAGGACACAGTGAGAAGGCAGCAATCTGTAAACCAGAAAGAGAGGATCACCAGTAACCAACACTAACAGGACCTTGATCTTGGACTTCTAGCTTCCAGAACTGCGAAAAAATTAATTTCTGTTGTTTATGCCACCCATTCTGTGGTATTTGCTATGGCAGCCCTAGCAGACTAATACAATATCCAATAAATTCTTGTTGAAATGTTAAAATGTTCAATTTTAAACATTATTGTCTGGATTTTATTTCATTTTGGAAATAGGATATTTCCCAGACATGGTTAGTCCGACTTTTATAATAGAAAAATAAGAATTATAAAAATTTAAAACACTTTAAAAACTATTAAATTTTAAAACATGCACCTGTATGGAAAAAAATCAGAACACTAGTTGCCAGAGGGGAGGAGGAAGGATGGGGTAGGGACTGACTGGGAAGGGGCATTAGAAACTTTGAGAGAGAGTATTATTCTGTATGTTGATGGAAGTTTGTACTACAGGTATATGTTAATGTCAAAACTCATTAAACCGTATACTTAAGATTTGTGTATTTCACTAATGCAAATTTTATAGAAAGAAACAAATACTTGACTCTAGTTAATGATATGCATGGTGAAATATTTAGGAGTGAAGTATATATTGATGTTTGCAACTTACTTTGACATGCATCAAAAAAAATTAAAAGGTGGATTGGATAGAGATGGATACGTGATAGAGTAAATACAGCAAATCACTGATTATAGAATCTAGATGGTGGGTACATGAGTGTTCATCATACAATTCTTTCAAATTTTCTGTATATTTTTTCTGTATATTTTTCTGTATATTTCTGAATATTTTCATAATAAAATTCTGAAATACACCTGATCTTTATAATAAAAAAATACATGACTTGTTTCTCTTCCACAGTATTCAGTGCAGTGCTTTTTACATTTAGGGTATTTACATGGAAATTGTAATGATTTCACAGCTTAAAAAATTTTAAACTTTGCTTAATAATTTGTGAGTATGCCAGTTGCCAGTTAACCATGTTTTACAATTTTACAAAATTCATCTAAATCTAAATGTTATACTAAAATCTTACAGTTTTACAGCAACTTCTCTTATGTTCCTGTGTGCCTCTGAGCCAGTAAGGCAAAGGTTATTCTCATTTACAATGAAGTTAAATGATGTGCCAAAGGCAGCTCTGGAAATCCAGATCTTCTGACTTTTTTAATCCAGGATACTCTCCATTATAAACCAAGCATTTGGAAAAGTCCTAAACAAAGTCCTAAACAAAAAAAAAATTCCCTCAGGTTTCGCTAATGAGATTTATTTTATGACCTTTTTACTTATATTATCTCTGTGAATGGAATGGTTCTGCAGAACAGTTTAGCTTTTGCCCCCCTTATCTTATCTGACCTTCCAAAAGAAAAATCAAAGTATACTTTAAGTACTGTTGGATGTTTTCACTGAAAAAAGAGATCCTTTAAAATTCGGGTGTAGAGATTCAAATTATAGTCTCTATGGAATCAGTTTTAAATGTTACTTAACATAATCTTATTTTACAGATTCAAAAGTTAATTCCCAAAGGGGTTAAGTGATTATTAGCTCAAGGTCCCAAAGCTGTTAATGGCAGCAGTACTAGAACCCAGAAAATCTAACTCCCTAATTCTCTTTACAATAAATCCTTAAAGCTACCACTGCTCAAATATCTGAGTTTATTAACTCGTTAAATCATAGTACTAATGTGACAAGACCAAGGCCACAAAGGGGTCAGTAAACCTTAAATATTCCATATACTTTAGAAATCAACAGTCATTTTTTATCCTATTTAAGATTTTTACAAGTATTTGTATTTGTTGGGAACTTTGATCACATTTGAAGTCAGCAGCTGTGCTGAGCTAGTCTGAGAAGTAGCTTAAGTGGTGAAGAGTGTGCAAGTAATGATCCTACATAAACTCTTTAACCTAATGATGTTTGTCAAAGAATTTAGTCTGTTGAAGTAATCTTCAAGAATACCACTCCCAACAAAATGGCTCAAAGCACAAAGCTTACTATAGATAGATTAATAGCACGTGAAACGAATTTTTCAATGTCTTTAGCTAAAAATACATTTGTAAGGTCATGATTTTTTAATTCAATTCTTTATCTAGACAGCAGCACATTTAAGCTTACAATGGAACAGATAACTTTCTTAGCAACTTGGTCAAAATCCAGACCCTGTTCTTTAATTCATCGGTTAATATTTAACCCTAGCCTTCTGGTGTTTGAATACATAAAAAATACAGACTTTTTCTTAAATGTTATATTTTCTCTAATGGTTACCAAGGCAGCAGCATCGGAGTTGGTACTAGAATTAATCGCCCCTCCTAGACTCGAAACGTTCTGCTCCATCAAAATAAGTTCTCCTTCACTTTCATTTTTATCAACTAAATAAGCTCTGCTTCACTTTCATTTCTCCACAAATGTTCAACTTAAAATAGGAGGGGAATGGCAAAGGCTAGGAACTGAGTTCGGGGGATGGCTAAAGGATTGTTACAATCCCTACCAACCGGGCAGAGTTCGCCTTTACTACCGCGCAACCACCCGGAGTTTCCCTTGCGGCTATTCAAGGCCTGGGCGGCTCAGAGAGAACCATGAACCCCACGAAGCAGCCTGGCTCCCTATGGCCAACCCCGCGCCCCCCATGACCTCCAATGGCTCGTAAAAGGAGCCTTGCATTGCTCGTTTCTTCTACAATTGGTCCGCAATCTCTCCTAGGCCAGAGGAGGGAACAGGGTTCAGGGACAAAAGGAAGCACACGCCTGCCACATGAGAAAAACCCCATCACCTGGAACTCGGCGAACTCCTCACAGTTCACACCGCCACTGGGCGCCGCCATATTGGACAAACGCGAGGCCCCCGTCGCAAGCCAATCACGGTGGAGCAAAGGTGTCCGCGGCGCCGCCTGACAAAAGATATTTCTAGGGAACTATACGCGAGAAAGCTGAGTGCTGGACCTGTTTTCCGCGGTCCTCATTCACTTTGAAACTTGTATCCGTGCTGTCCTTTTTTTCCACTTCTCCCCTTTAACATGTCCTCCTGGAACCCACCCATATCCATGGATCAAAGAATGTCAGAATTTGAATGGATCGTTTTACCCTAATCCCGTCTTGTTATAAAAAGGAAAACAATTTCCTAGTGGCACCAACCAAGTAGATCGAGGAGGAAACCTAGAGTAGGAGTGGTTTTCCTTAACCCTCCCATTCCATTTTCTACGTCCTGTCCTTGGAGCAGATCGTTAAGATTTGTTCGTTAAGATTTTGGGACCACTAAGAAATATCAAAAAAATACATTTCTGGCAGTGTGTGTGGATAAATGTTGAATAAAGTGTTTAGGTGTGGAAATGTTTAGTTTTAGAAAACTAGGTAAATGGAAAAAAAGGAAACATATATGCTAATTTCTCAGCCTGAGAGATACTCCCAAAGCCAACAGGGATGGGTGCCACTAGGCCCCAGTTAGGTGTTTGTGATAAAGGAATGTATTCATTGAAAACACTGGAAGAACAGTGTATTGAAATATTGATTTATTTATATCTAGGCAGTGTGATTTCGGGAGTCTACAGTTCGTAAAATTTACAATGACCATATTAGTTTTGTACTTTAAACGGGTACCTCCTTAGTTACAAAGAATAATATTCCAGAGGCCCATTTATAACCAGACGCCAAACCAGCACTTCTAAAGACGCATCCAGAGCGGGGCACCGGGCAGGATCGCGGAGGATGCACCGCCCAACTATTCTGCCCGAGACGCACGTCCCACACGCCCCGCTCATCACACAGACCCCGCCCATCCCGCGGGCCCCGCCCATACGTCCAGTGCGTCACGCACGACCTGCTCGCTCCGCCCTCACGTCTCACACGCCCCGCCTGCTAGCGGTAGCCTTGTCCTTCCAGTTGCGGCGCTCGGTGACATTGAGTGTATCCACGCCACCGCCGCCCCAAGGCGCTGTGCTGGTCGGCGGAGTAGGCGGCCATGGGAAGCCTCCGCGGCCTGCGCCTCGCGGCGGGTGAGACGCGGGCCGTGCTGGTGGTGGGAGGGAGGCGGGAAGCCAGCTCGGCCACTAGGGTTGGAGGAATCCTGCAGCCTCCCCAAGGCCTGGTAGTTGCTTGGCGTCACCCACTCCCCTTAAGTTGCTCGGAAGCCTACCCGCATGGTAGCAATAATGGGAGCAAGCAAGGGCGGAGCGAGCAACTGCTAAGCAAACATTGGGGGCTCCCCGGAGTGACCCTCGCATCTGGTTCTGCATCCACCCATCTCCCAGCAACTTGATGACCCCTTGCTCCCCCATTCATTCTCCCCTCCTCCATCATTTGCTTCCTCGGAGCTCATTTCTTAATGTACTTGCCATCCCTAGAACTAACCCACTCATTCCCGGATTCATTAAGCTTTCCACCCTGACCTCTCCCCTCCGTTACTCCTCTTGAGTCTTGAGTCTCCCCTCGACCCCATCTCAAGAGTTTATCCCCGCTTTTAGAGAAAACCTATAGTCTGGAGTTCCTACTTAGTTAGTGTCTGGTTAGGCAAGGGAATTAAGGTCTCACAGAATAATAGTAATTGCTTTCTTAAAATGGGGTATATATTTCTTTTAAATAATTCTACAATTAAGTGCTTCGAATTTCTTGGAGGAAAGCTACGTAAAGGCAGGATCTGCGGTTTGTTTTCCTAGTTGACGGTTGTATAATGGGTATTTGAAGGCAGAGCTTAATTTGCCTTTTTGGGGAACCCGCAGAGCCTTTGTTTAGTAGGAGCCTAAGAAATCAGCGTTTGCCTCTTGGCTCTCTTCTAGGCACCAAGGCTGATCACTTTTGGTCACCTTTATGAGTTTGTTTGTTTGTTTGTTTGTTTTTACTTTTATTAGCATTTATTTGATGTTGAATTTACTCCCGGGTCATAAGTTTTTGTTTCTTCAGTTTCTTCTGGGAGATCTTTTTCTTCTGTGCAACCTCCTCTTCTGGTTTAGGAACAATTTGTTCCTTTTCAGTTAGGATCATCTCAATGTGGCAGGGAGAGCTCACGTAGGGGTTGATCCGTCCGTGAGCTCTGTAAGTTCTGTGCTGCATCTTGGGAGCTTTATTTACTTTGGATGTGCTCTATGACTAGAGAGTCTACATCTAAACCCTTAAGTTCAGCATTACTCTCTGCATTTTTAAGCATGTGCAGTAAAAATTCTGCACTCTTTTTGGGCCACCGACCCTGCGTCCAACCCCACTGTTTGGCCTGGGCACACCTCCCAACTCCACCATTGTAACGACGGAAGGGCACACATTGTTTTTGTAATGTGACATCCTTTAGATACTTGGTGGCTTTTCGGATATGCATACCCTTGATGGCCTGGGCAGTTTCACTAGTGTTCTTAAAATGAACCCGTAGATTCGAACCTCTCGATTTACATGATTTTGTGGGGTTCTCCGGGTCAAGAGGATAGCGAACCATTTTGAGAGGTCACCTCAGGCCGCTTTCGGGAAGAACCTTTATGAGTTTTGATAAGGCATAATGATTGCTCTTTTATTCCTTGCTATCAAATTACTACACAGTTGTTTAATTCAAATTTTAAAGGAAGAATTGCCCCAAACTTGGCTATGGAAATTATGTAAATGTACACTATGAATGAAGTAATGTAAAAAAAGTTATCCTTTACAAACTTGGCTTATTTTGCATTCCAATGGAGAGTGGACTGGAAAACTGGTCTCAAACTAGAGAATGTTCTTTACTTCCTTTAAAACAAATCCTCCCTCCACTAAAAGAAATTGATTTCATTGATTTGTTCAGCTTTGTTGAACTAATTCATCAAAAATATTTTATATATCCTAATCCCCCAATTGGTGATTTTGCTTCCCTTGGTTTCAGTTATCTATGATCAGTCGTGGTCTGAAAATACTAAATGGGAAAATCCATAAATAATTAATAAATTTTAAGTTTGGGGCTGTTCTGAGTAGTATGATGAAATTTTGCACTTTCCCACTCCAATTCACCCAGGACGTGAACCATCTCTTTGTCCAGTGTTTCATCGCTGTATACACTACTAGCTTGTTTTCAGAGTGACAGTCTTGATATCACAGTGTTTGTGTTCAAGTCACCCTTATTTTACTTAATGCCCAAAAGTGTAAGAGTAGTGATGCTGGCAATTTGGATATGACAAAGAGAAGCCGTGACATGTCTGCATAGGATAGGGTTTGGTACTATCCATTGTTTCAGGCATCCACTGGGGGTCTTGGAATGTACCCCATGGGGAACAGGTGGGGACTATTGTACATCCTGTTAACTGTTACAAAGCTTTTCAACAAGGTAAGTGAAAGAATCATTACTCTGTAAAAACAACTAAAACAGACTGAGTGAAAGGGACTTTGACTACATAGTAACTGTTTATAAGTAGTTCATCTTCTTGCCTTGAGAATGTATTTATGCATTATAAAGATTCCAAAGCCTCTCTGCAGACTTTTGATGCTTAAGAACTTCAGGGTCGGCACTCACTCAAAATTCCTTGAACAATTTAAGAACGATTTCACTGCAGATAGATCCACTAAAGGTGTTATATGAGCAACTCTTTCCAAATGATCTTCTCTGAATGTTTTGTGAGCAAGTCCAAACAATCTGGTCTTTCACCCACTTTTGCCCATTTTATAGCTAAATACGTTCACTTATATTATTTCACTTGACTGATTTCTCTCAGAAGCCCTCTTAGGTAAATCTTATCATCCAGTCTCCATTTTACAAATAAAGAAACATAGGTCAGAGGATTAAATGACTTGCACAACTTAAGAGTCAGGAAGTGAGCCTGCCCTCTCATTCTGGAACTTGTGCTCTTTGCTTTGTTCAAGCTGTTTATTCACAATAAGTATGTATATGTGTTTGTCATGGCTAATTGGATCTCTCTGATGTGAAATGAAAGAGTCATGAAATGCACATTTGCTTGTGAGAGGGAAGCACACATTTAAATGCAATTGGATTTTCAAGTAAGAAGACTGACTTAACAAGCAGCCTTAACCAGATAATGTAGGTATAGTCAGTCGGTCCTCCTATCCATGGATTCAACCAAAATTCAACCAACCATGGTTGGAAATACTCAGAAAAATATTACCTTGTTGCTGATGTGTGCTATGTAGTTACGCCTATGGTGGTTGGGTCTGTACTGAACATGTACCCTTTTTCCCTTGTCATTATTCCCTAAACAATACAGTATAATAGCTATTTGCATAGTATTTACATTGTATTAGATATTATAAATATTTTACAGGCATTTTAAAGCATTGAGAAGATGTGGGTAGGTTATATGCAAATACAATGCTATTTTATATAAGGGGCTTGAACATCCTTGGATTTTGGTTTCCAAGGGGGTCCTGGAAGCAAAGCCCCTCAGATACCAAGGGATGACTGTATACCCCACTTATCCAGAATATTATTTGGAATAAGATACTCTAGGTGAGTGAAATTTCAAATAGCCAAAGCTTAATCTTTAAATGATGGACCTTTAGTTTTGTTTCTGTTGGAAATCTTTGGTATACTCCCCTAGCAAATGGATTTTTTTGAGCTTGAATTTGAGCCAGAATATGGGCTTTTATGAGCTTGAATTTGTTTTTTCTTTTGTAGATATAGGTCAGGGTAAACTTGCAATTCTTGGACTCCTTCACAGATGACAGGTCCTGTGAACCTCTGAAATTATTATAATATAATTAGATTATATTATATATTTTTATGATTATATACCTGTTTTAGGGAAAGAGGGTCCATAGCCTATATCCATTACTCAGAGCAATCCGTACTCCAAGTTAAAGATGATTTGGAACTAATTGGCTACTGGCCCACATTTGTGTGGGTTTCATGAGGGTAAAGACCGGATCTGTTTTGTTTTTACTAAACCTTCAGCACTTATCAATGTCCAGCTCACAGTAGACAGGCAATAGATATTTTTTGGAAGAGAGACACTAGGAAATATCTTGCAACATGCTGCACATATATAAGGTAAGTTTTCTTTACCTCTTTTCTGAAAGTAGAATAAAATAGATATAACCTTCAGGACATTGTATCTTTCTGCAGAATAATTATTAGGTCAAAGGAATGGAATGGCCTTATGTTTCTTCACAACTTCAGAAAAGTTTTACTGCCCTAAGCTCCTTTGACTTATCAGCAGATTTTAAATGAATTTATGATTATTTTTATACCAATGCAATGGACCGTGGGCAGCCTCCTTGTCAATTTAACGCACATCACAGAGCACTAGAGTCAACAAGTACCTTAAAAGTCCTGTAGTTCAGCCTCCTAATTTTAAAGATGAAGAAACTTAAGGGCCAAGAAGGAAACTGACTAGCCAAGACCCCGCATGAGTACAACAGTGGGCCATGCCCAATATCTCCTGGCTCCCATTCTGATTTTGTTTCCACTACATTCTTTGTTCTTTTTGTTTGTTCTTGCTAACCAACCCTAAATGCGTACTACCTGTTTTTACTGCTCCAGTTTTTGTGTTGCTTATCTCTCCAGGTTTTGCCAACAGGTTTTTATTGAGCACACACTTTGTGCCCTGTTATACTATGAAAGCTCTAAAATAAGTTGACCACCGCTCCTCCTAGGGCTAGAGTTTATTGCAATGAACAAACATATCTATATAATACACCTGGAGAGCTTATACATGACAATATATGTTAAGTTCTAGATTACAGAACAGATTTTGAGTTCTGCTGTGGTGTCCTGGAGCTGTTTCCTAGTGGCTTTGTGCACATCTCATCCCAGTTTTACAAAATGTTGTTACATTAGCAGCTTGAAATCTGCCTTGGTGGAAGGTATTGGCAAACACTGTAAATCAGGGCTTTCCCCCCCCCCC